TTTTACTGCTGGCATGAGTTACTTGATGTGGAATGGAGTTCCATGTAGTCATGGCTCTATGTAGTACTGTACGCCTCCCATAGTCTGTTCTTGACTTGTGGACTGTGAAGAGACCTCTGGTGGCATGTCTTGTGGGGAATGCATGGGTGTCCGAGCTGTGTGCCAGTAGTTCAAACAGACAGCTCTGTGGTATATTGAGAAATGTATTATGTGTTAATGAGTTTAGATTTTAAATGGTTGCAAATAGCCAATGGGATTTGTATACAGAAGTTGAGTTATTTGAATTAACAAATGACAATGGGGTTTCCGTTCTTGCATTGAAGTGATTGGATTACGAGATGCAAGGGCAGTAAAAGTTCAATGATGTAAAGGAGAGTTGGGCTGAAGACACTGTAGAGAGTAGTTGATTGTGTTAAGGTGAACATGAAATAAATCAGTTCTGGTTATTATAAGTACGCTTCGGAGTCATCAGTAAAAGAACCCAGCATCTTAGGATGCAACAAGCTCGGTGCATTCAACATGTCAATACAATAAATATTCAATTTTATTTGGAACGGCAAGCCAGACAAAATTAAAAGAGCATATTTATATAATGAATATGAATTCGGAGGACAGAAATTATTAAATATTAAAGCATTAGACCTATCACTAAAATCTTCAGTCATCCAAAAGTTATACTTAAATCCGAACTGGTTCTCAAGCAAATTAGTAAGATTGTCTCACCCAATGTTCAAGAAAGGCCTTTTTCCCTTTATTCAGATTACAACCTCTCACTTTCAGTTATTTGAAAAGGAAATAATCTCCCAAATGTCACTATTTCTAAAACAAGCCATAGAAAGTTGGTTGCAATTTCAATTTTATCCTCCAGAAACGACAGAACAAATAATGGGGGAGAAAGTAAAGAACTTGTCTGTCGGCCTTGCATTAAAGAACATAATTGGTTAAGGAAAACTGTGATAAATAAAAAAGTATATCAGTTTCACTTAAGGACCAAAGGATTGACAGCCGTCCCATATAGATTGCAAAATAGAGTTGGGAAGAGATCTTTGACGTACCGATCCCATGGCATAGTGTTTATGAACTGACACGCAAAACGACACCGGATTCAAAAATTAGAATCTTTCAATTTAAATTATTATATAAAATTCTTGCTACCAATATAATGTTATTTATATGGGGGATACAATCTTCCCAGCTCTGCAGATTTTGCTGTGAAGAGACAGAATCATTAGATCATTTGTTTTGGTTCTGTCCATTTGTAGCTTGTTTTTGGACACAGGTCCAGGAATGGCTAAAGGATTGCAATATTTACCTGGAACTAACCTTGCAGATAGCATTACTGGGTGATCTGAAAAGTCATAGTCAATCAATCAATAATATAATAATACTTTTAGCAAAAATGTTTATTTTTAATTCACAATCTGTAGAAGCAATGAGAATAGAAAGGTTCAGAACTTTTGTAAAACATCACAGTACGGTTGAAATATATATGGCAAATAGAAATCCTATATGGATGGTGTTAAGAGATAGATGGGATGTATTGAATAGAGTTGAAGGATGGGACTAATAACAAATAACAACAAATAATAACAAAGATAGCTAATAATGTAAGCATACTGTGTCCATAATAAGTATATAGGTTGTATGTTGGGAGCTTTTGGGAAAGAGCACAGTTAGAAAGATATGGCATATAGAAGCAAACCGGATGGACATCATGAAAATGATCGGAGAGGTTGAGAGTAGAAGAAGTTCAGGAGCAAAAAAAATTCTAATATATATATATAATAGAATTATTGTAAAATTAACTCTGTCCATAAGGTGTAGATAGTAAGTATAGACCGGAAGTAGAGGCCTGGGCATTGTTGTTCACTAATTTACTCCAAGTAGGGAAAGGATGGTGGGGTTGAAAAGTAATAAAGGGGAATATATATATTTAAAAATATATATATTTTAAAAAATGGGGGATTGGAAGTGATGCAGACAATTACATTGATAGAAGATACAATCTATCTGCAATATTAAACTGATCCATTCCCCCCTCCACTTTGAGCCAGGAGAGATTGACATGCATATTATTAATGTTAGCTCTCTGTGTACATCCAAGGGCCAGCCGTGCTGCCCTGTTCTGAGCCAATTGCAATTTTCCTAAGTCCCTCTTTGTGGCACCTGACCACACGACTGAACAGTAGTCCATGTGCGACAAAACTAGGGCCTGTAGGACCTGCCTTGTTGATGGTGCTGTTAAGAATGCAGAGCAGCGCTTTATTATAGACAGACTTCTCCCCATACTAGCTACTGTTGGATCAATATTTGATTCCAGGTAGAACCCTTTTGGGAACCATTTAGAACTCTTTTGGTTTCCATGTAGAACCTGGAACACAAAAGGGTTCTACCTGGAACCGAAACCCAAAAAGGCATTACTGTGAGCTCAACCTCCCCATTTAAAGTGCCACCAGTCACCACTGATCCATGTCTATGGACCACTTTGCTTTTTGGCCAAGCAAGCTCAAGAGTTCATCTTTGAACTTGTCGAGGTGAACTCACAGATGCTCCTCTCAACCCAGAGTTTTCAAAGCCCGTCTCTGTGGACAGTAATGACCATCACCCTTTAGAGGGGTGTCCAGTGAGGGATGTTGGACCTGCCCACCTTTTAAGGGCAATTTGAGGTCTTTATGGGTATTTACTGTTAAAAGGTACCATGTACCCTGTAATCAGTTATGGAGCGATAACTTTCTCTTTCTCAACCGTGATCACTTGATCAACCTAACCCTAACCACATTTTACCACTTGCTTGCTGTTGAAAGGTTGGTCACCATGCACCCTGTTATCAGGAACATACGCATTATTTTGAGTCTGGCAGTCTCTGGTCAAAAGTAGTATATTAGATAGGGAATAGGGTGCCATATGGGACACAGCGTCTGGCTACTCAGCCAGTCTAGTCAAGGGAGAATTTAAAATATAATAATATATGCCATTTAGCAGACGCTTTTACCCAAAGTGACTTACAGTAATGTGTGCATACATTTTACATACGGATGGTCCCGGGAATTGAATCCACTTTCCTGGCATTGCAAGCACTGTCCTCCACCAACTGAGCTACAGAGGAAAATGTCAGGTCTCCTTGCTCAACATTGACCTCTTGCTTAACCCTAGTCTTAACCCTACTCTTAACCCTAGTCTTAACCCTAGTCTTAACCCTACTCTTAACCCTACTCTTAACCCTAGTCTTAACCCTAGTCTTCTTAACCTACTCTTAACCCAGTCTTAACCCTAGTCTTAACCCTAGTCTTAACCCTAGTCTTAACCCTACTCTTAACCCTAGTCTTACCCTAGTCTTAACCCTATCTTAACCCTAGTCTTAACCTAGTCTTAACCCTAGTCTTAACCCTACTCTTAACCCTAGTCTTAACCCTACTCTTAACCCTAGTCTTAACCCTAGTCTTAACCCTAGTCTTAACCCTAGTCTTAACCCTACTCTTAACCCTAGTCTTAACCCTACTCTTAACCCTAGTCTTAACCCTAGTCTTAACCCTACTCTTAACCCTAGTCTTAACCCTACTCTTAACCCTAGTCTTAACCTTACTCTTAACCCTAGTCTTAACCCTACTCTTAACCCTAGTCTTAACCCTACTCTTAACCCTAGTCTTAACCCTAGTCTTAACCCTACTCTTAACCCTACTCTTAACCCTAGTCTTAACCCTAGTCTTAACCCTAGTCTTAACCCTAGTCTTAACCCTACTTAACCCACACTCTTAACCCTACTCTTAACCCTAGTCTTAACCCTAGTCTTAACCCTAGTCTTAACCCTAGTCTTAACCCTACTCTTAACCCTAGTCTTAACCCTACTCTTAACCCTAGTCTTAACCCTAGTCTTAACCCTACTCTTAACCCTAGTCCTTAACCCTAGTCTTACCCTACTCTTAACCCTAGTCTAACCCTACTCTTAACCCTAGTCTTAACCCTACTCTAACCCTATTCTTAACCCTAGTCTTAACCCTACTCTTAACCCTAGTCTTAACCTATCTTAAACCCTAGTCTTAACCCTACTCTTAACCCTAGTCTTAACCCTAGTCTTAACCCTACTCTTAACCCTACTCTTAACCCTAGTCTTAACCATATCTTAACCCTAGTCTTAACCCTACTCTTAACCTAGTCTTAACCCTACTCTACCCTAGTCTTAAAACCTACTCTTAACCTAGCTAACCCTAGTCTTAACCCTAGTCTTAACCCTATACCTTAACCCTAGTCTTAACCCTACTCTTAACCCTAGTCTCCTATTAACCCTAGTCTTATTAACCCTAGTCTTAACCCTACTCTTAACCCTAGTCTTAACCCTACTCTCTAACCCTAGTCTTAACCCTAGTCTTAACCCTACTCTTAACCCTACTCTTAACCCTAGTCTTAACCCTACTCTTAACCCTACTCTTAACCCTAGTCTTAACCCTAGTCTTAACCCTACTCTTAACCCTAGTCTTAACCCTAGTCTTAACCCTACTCTTAACCCTAGTCTTAACCCTACTCTTAACCCTAGTCTTAACCCTAGTCTTAACCCTACTCTTAACCCTACTCTTAACCCTAGTCTTAACCCTACTCTTAACCCTAGTCTTAACCCTACTCTTAACCCTAGTCTTAACCCTAGTCTTAACCCTACTCTTAACCCTACTCTTAACCCTAGTCTTAACCCTAGTCTTAACCCTAGTCTTAACCCTACTCTTAACCCTAGTCTTAACCCTACTCTTAACCCTACTCTTAACCCTAGTCTTAACCCTAGTCTTAACCCTAGTCTTTTCCCTATCCATAGCATATTTTCTCTCTTGTTTGGTTTGGGAAGATAGGCATTGGTCACCATCTGTTATAAGTAAACAGTAAAGGAAGGCCCATTACTCTAAGCCTGTTTAAGTCTGGGAGCATTGACCTCTTGCTCAAACTTTGCTCCTGCCTTAGTCTCTGCCCTAGCCATAAAACGGTAATTCACCACCTTTTCACTCTTGTTGTTGCAGATGGACTGCATTCACAAAACGCTGATTGGTCCAGGGTTTAGGCTAGCCACGTCCCCTATGAGGAAACCCAGCTCATCGTGTGTTGTGTGCCGGCTGAGGTTCAACTCTGAGGTAGGCAGAGTTTGACCTCATACAGGGCAGTACCAGGGATGCTTGAGAACTCTACTGTCTCAACACACTACTGTCTCAAAAGCGTTCCAAAAGGTTTCATCAGCTGTCCCCATAGGAGAACCCTTTTTAGTTCCAGGTAGAAACCTTTTTGGTTCCAGGTAGTTCTACACTGAACAAAAACATAAACGCAACATCTAAAGTGTTGGTCGTATGTTTCATGAGCTGAAATAAAAGCTCCCAGATATTTTCCATATGCACAAAATGCTTATTTCTCTCAAATTGTGTATACAAATTTGTTTACATCCCTGTTAGTGAACATTTCTCCGTTGCCAAGTTAATCCATCCACCTGACAGGTGTGGCAAATCAAGAAGCTGATTAAACAGCATGATCATTACATGTTCATTGTCGTTTTAGAGAATTTGGCAGTATGTCCAACCGGCCTCACAACCGCAAATCACATATAACCACGCCTACCTCCACATCCGGCTTCTTCACCTGCGGGATCGTCTGAGACCAGCCACCTGGACAGCTGGTTCTCCTATGGGGACAGCCGATTAACCCTTTTAGGTTTTAGATAGCACCTTTTTTTCTAAGAGTGAACTCGTGCCTGGTCTTTCTCAACATGCAGGCATTGTCAAATGTGTTATTTTGTTATTTTATTAGGATCCCCATTATCTGTTCCAAAAGCAGCAGCTACTTTTCCTGTGGCTTATGCAAGTGTTGTGTGGGTGTAAACCGTGGGAGCGCAGGTTTGAAATATTGGATGAAATGTATGAGATTAAAATCTCTCCAAGAGTTGAAATTGCTCTGGATAAGAGCATCTGCTAACTGACGAAACTGTAATAATGTAAAATCTCTGGCTTAACCCTGTGGCTGTATGACTTGATGACTTGAGAACATACTACTGCATGGTCATTGGGCTTGTTGTTGTATCTTGTGTGACTCTGTGGTTCTGGTTCTATTGTCTCTCTCTGTGTAGAGCCAGGCCTCATCCCATTACAGCGGTACCAAACACTTCAAGAGGCTCAAAGCCCTTGACCCACTGGACTGCAAGACCAGAGCCCCTGACGCAGTCACCAAGAGCATCTCACCCTGCCATGTGCCGCCCAGCTCAGACTCCAGTTCAACAGGTTGGTGTGTGTGTGTGTGTGCGCATGCATGAGTGCACGCGTTAGGGTGTGTGCGTGTGTATGTACGTGCGCATGTGTGTGTGTGCGTGCATTCAAGGGTGTATGTGTAAATATGTGCTGACATCAAACACATAAAGGATCCTTGTAGCTTTGATCATCCAGACCATCCCTTCTAACAGACCCTGCGTTTCCTGTCAACACTCTCTATCTCTTTGATGTGTGAGGAAGCCTCTCACCTGTCTATCCTCACTGCCATATAGAGCAGATGGACTAAAAAGCTGAAAGGCATTCAACTCTCCTCTCTCTACATGACCCTGTATACATGTAGACACACATTCTCACCAATGAGTCTTTAGAGGTTCAAACGCAGCACTTTGCTTGTGTGTCTGTAACGAATGCAGATCTGGGAGTATGTGTGTGGGAGTTTGCGTTGTTTGTTAATGTATGCGTGCCTCGGAGTATGTCCTTCTATATAAGTAGGCGTTTTCAAATGTGTTGTGGTATTCGTGAGTGTTTTAGAGCGTGAAAGCCCATTTATTTGACTTCATGCCATAGCGATAGAGTGAGCGAGTTTTTCTATTTTGTGTGGAACAAACAGTGGAGCTTTGTGATGATTACTTTGGCAAACAGCCTTATTGCCATTTTAGAGAGACAGTCAATGACAATAAAGAAATGCTCACAGGCCTAATCACCATTAACACATTACCTACTATGGGGTTTCCCTCTGGGGAAGCCCTCCGGCTCCCGATCCGTCTCACTGCAGATAATGGACCGTAATCATTTCAATCCGAAGCCTCTAATTTTCCCACTCTGAAAAATGGAAGCAGATTCCCATGGGAAATATTTGGTTATTACTGAGATTACAGAGGCTAATGGATCTCATAAACACTGTTGCTGGTGTGGTTTTATCTGTCTCAGTGAGTTATGGTAAAAGTTGAGAGACTTGGTCTGCTTCCCAAAAGGCACCCTTTTCCCTACATAGTGCACAATGGCCCTGGTCAAAAATAGTACACCAGTTAGGGAATAGGGTGCTCTTTGGGACGCAAGGCTGCAGTAGTAACCAGTATTAGAGACTCTGTTAGAGGTTGATGTAGGAGAGAAGAAAGCATCAGGGTTAACTTATGTCCCCTCTCTCTCTCACCACCACTACCACACACACACTCTCCCCACTAATTCACCACTACCACACACACACTCTCCCCACTAATTCACCACTATCACACACACACTCTCCCCACTAATTCACCACTATCACACA